TGAACCAACTCTAACTCCTTTATAACCAGGTTAGCTCTTAGAAAAGGAGTAACTGTGGTTTTGTGTGGCTACTTTTCCTCACCTAATGGGCAGCATTAAAGTCTAAAGCCAGGATTTGCACGTCCTAGGCAAGCGCTGTGCCACAGAGCCCCATGCCCCATAGCTATACGTGTTGCAATGACTCCAGGACTATTCATTAGATGGTTATATAGCTAAAGTGGTTCAAAAGTAGAGACCAAGGAAAAGAGATTTTTCTTCAGATATTTCTGGAATAAAAGAAGGAATTTGCTAAAATACTTGTATTTTCTTACCGAGAGAGAGAAGAGGAGGAGGAGAGAGATGGCTGAGTGATTAACAGCACTTGCTGCAGTTACGGAGGACTAGGGTTTGTTTCTCAGCACCCACATCATGGTGTTTACAATGCTTCTATCTCTAGTTCTACGGATCTGACCTTTTGGCTTCCACAGACATCTACATACATGTGCACAAAACTCAGCAAGGCACATACACATAAATAAAATTTTAAAAGTTCAAATACAAAAAAATTTCTGGAAAGGGAAAGGACATTTTGTTTACTGCTACATCTTCAGAGGCTAGAACCTGGTTCAAGAATAGAGTTAATATCTTTTTGAATAAATTGTTTATGTTAGTAATTTTCATGGAGAAATATGTAATGTAACCAACTGGATTGTACATGTCATAAAATTACATATTAAATCTTGAGTCTGGGAATATGCCTTTGTTGTAGAGATCTTACCTATCATGGGCTTCCATCCTTAGCAAAGAACAAAGGAAAGATAAAATACTGAGAAGTTAGATTGTTGCTTTGTTACTGCTGTAATTAGTATATTAACTGTACTTATAACAAGTAAGCACCTAACAAAATACCCAAGAGGAAGAACAAGATTGCTATAAAGTGAAAGATGGAAGACACTCAGAAAGCTTCTTTGCTAAGAGCATTCCACTTCTTCCTTAATTTCATGTAAAAGAACTCAGCTCTTTGCTCCCACATATATCAACATTAAATGTTTCATTCTAATCCAAACTGAAACATATTGCTGTAAAACCTGCAAAGTGTCCCTCACAGAGGTCAAAGGATCACTTGAAAATGGCAGTGTTATTTTTTCATGTCCACAGTTTGATCCTACTATCAATCTTTTTTCTTCAGCTGTTTCAGTAAACATTTAATGTTTCCATGTTTTCAACTAAAGGGAATGAAACAGCAAAATTCCTCTGGGTCTATTTTTTTTCACTAGTTGGATTGAAGACAATGGTAGAAATTTAAACTATAACACACTCTAATAATTATATTAAAAATAATATTACCAGCCAGTGTATTGCAATTGTTTGTTGCAAAGTTTATTCTGAAAATAAATATAGAGTACTAGATTGAATTAAGTACTTGCTGGTCTTCTGGAACGAGGGAGGAACCAGAGCCTCTCTTCAACACATATGAGAGGCTGTTTCATGCCTTGAGTGTTAGAAGTATAGCAAGAGTGTTTTAGATTCAACTCAGCTTGTCTGGCCATGTACTCATACTTGACTGGAGTCCTAAGATAATTCATAACATATTTTAAGGGAAAAATGAAGAAGGTTGCTCTTGCATCCTGTGGAACTTTCTGTTTGAGATCATAGTGCATTCCTGTGTTCTATCTGTGCCATCACTTCCATAATTTCCTTCTTTCTACATAGAGTAGGAGGCCAGTTTGTTCTGTCATCATATAATTTTTGAAATAATATTTGTATCAATGAGGAACAGTATTTACATTCATTGCAAATATCCTTCCAGCTCTTTCAGCATTGTTTTCTTTCCCATCTTTTTCATTTTCTCTCTCTCTCTCTCTTTGGAAAAATGCTGCACAGGTTCCTTGCTGGCTTGTGGTCAATAGCAGGTGTCTAGGGACCAGTAGTCACCAGACTCTGAAAATGTCCACACATGTGCCCATCGCAATCTCAATTTGTGGTTGACATGGTGGAGCAGAGACTGAAGAGCAGTAGGGAAATTTATACTTACTTTGTATAACTAAGGATAATACGCCATGCTAGCAGTATTTTGATCAATGTTCTTGGGATGATTGCTGTTATTTGGATAAAGAGACTAAAAGTAATTTGTGTAAATTATAATCACATAAAATGAGAGCTATATACATATAGATTTAACTTTGTCATCAGAAATATATAGGTTAAAGATCTATAATGTGACTGCATTCTTTTTTTATTAATTACAGTTTATTCATTTTGTATCTCAGTTGTAGGCCCCTCCCCCATTCCCTCCCAATCCCACCCTCGCTCCCTCATCTCCTCCCATTCCCCTCTCCAAGTCCACTGATAGAGGAGGTCCTCCTTCTCTTCCATCTGACTCTAGCTTATCAGGTATCATCAGGATTGGCTGCATTTTCCTCCTCTGTGGCCTGACAAGGCTGTTCCCCCCTCAGGGGGAAGATATCAAAGATACAGCCACTGAGTTCAGGTCAGAGACAGTCACTGTTCCCCTTACTAAGACACCCACTTGGATACTGAGCTGCCATGGGTGACATCTGAACAGGAGTTCTAGGTTATCTAGCTTATATCCATGAATGGTCCTTGGTTGGAGTATCAGTCTCAGAAAAGAGCCCTGTGAACAGATTTTTTGGTTCTGTTGCTCTCATTGTGGAGTTCCTGTCCTCTCCAGGTCTTACTATCTCCCCTTTCATAAGAGTGACTGCATTCTTAAGTGAATAACTGTGAGTCAGAATTCTAAGTTGGCACATGACTGTTTTTTAAAACTGGAGCCTTGATTTACTCTCACAGGAAGGAAGCAAATTCTCATAACAACTTTGGTTCCTGTGTCAAAATACTCTGGCAATGTCAGCTTCAGGAAGGAAAAGTGTATTTAGCTCCATAGATCTCAACACAGCCCACCATGGCAGGGTAGTCAAGCAGGTGGAGCCTGAGAGCATCCTGTATCTACAATCAGGAAGCAGAAAGAGGTGGATTAACTCCTGTGCTCAGCACATTCTCTCATCTTCATGGAGTCCAGAACCCCAGCCATTGCATGGTGCTGCCCATATTCATCGTGGGTTTTCCCATCTCAGTCACCCTAATAAGTGTAATTCCAAACACTTGTGCTCAGAGGCTTGTCACGTATAGGGTTCCAGATCTTCTTGTCAACTTTACAAGCAATGTCAACCATTGCAAACAGAAATTAATTTTTCAGTGGATTATTTCCACACAGAGGTTTGTTTTTTGTTTTTGTCTTGTTTTGTTTTATTTATTTATTTTTTTAATAGGAAAAGGGTCATTGGGTAATTTCAAGAAGAACTATAGGTGGTAATAAAGAGAATTCCGCTTACCCCAGGCCACTCCCTGGGCCAGAGTGCTTGACTCATAGAAACGTTTGAAAGGAGTCCAGCCAGACCAACAAATTGAGACCATAAGTGATGAAGTGTTTTGAGGTCACCCAGATTTACCACTTACCGATGTAGCCACGTGTAGCATTCTTTTTAAAAACTATTTTATTTGTGGAATCTAGGCCTCTACCTTCCTTCCACGAATGCCCCTCCTCCTACTTTAAGTAGGAGAGAAAAGGTTAGTGAGAAGAGGGGGCTCAGACTTCTCCACACTGTTTAGGGTCAAGGGGTTGTTTTAGGGCTCTGTACCAATCTCTGTCAATCACAGACACGGCTAGCAGTCTCCTCCACACTGCTGCACCCTGAAACATTTCTCTCTGTCTGTCTGCTCCAGATCACCGCATCTTCTCTGGATTCTCCAAACTGCTACATGCCACACGCCAACACTGAAAGTTATCATAGGACACCTTCTCTCTCTCGCCTGTCATGCTTATACTCTCAGAGTCCTAAACATGTCCCTGTCCTGGCAGCACGTGGAACGTGGAACGCTGTTCCTCGCTGGCAAAGATCACACCCCCTATGTGACAGTAACAGGTGTGGGCAAGCTACAGCCCAACTAGAATCCCACACTTGAGATTAAAACAAAAGCATCTTAACATAACATACAAAGAAACCAAAACTTTCATTACATACACAACTTTAAGATAAATGAATGTTTTAAACAAAATTTGTGTGGATTTGTTATGTAGTGATACATTATTCATATACTATAAACATTCTATGGGAGAACCTATAGAATGAAGTGATTTGTTGATATGGGATAATTGACACATCTGTTTGGAGGAAAGGAGTCATGACAGAGAACTGTTCACTGGTGTCTACTATGCAAAATACAATCACTGACATATCCTGAGAACAGTTATAGCTTCTAGAAGATTTTCCAGACCAAATCTGTATGTGTAACTCACCAAAAAATTACAAGGATATTTATAGCCAACAGAAATAGCCCCAAACTGGAAATAACTTGTGTCTATTACCATTGAATGACAACAACAATTGAGATTATTTACCCAAAGAAACACTACATTGCCACCACAATAAACTAACAGTACATTTTGTGGATGGATCTTATAAACACACATGGAACAAAGTAGGCCATACTTTTAAGAATGATGACAAAGATTATGAAAGGTCATTGCAGAAAGGTCAGAAATGCAGTTGCTTCATGTTAACATTATGATAATAGTAGGTCGGTTTGGAGCTGTGGCAGGACAAGATGCAGACCACAGGAGGGTAAACACATGATAACTCATGAATTTCACAATCTTGGTCTTGATGAAGCAACTGGATTTTTCTTGTGGAAATTCATGAAGTACATGCACTGTGGCATACACTTCTTATTTACCATTCAACCAAAAATGTTTTTTTTTTTTTTCTGCTGCTAAATGTTGGGAATACCCTTTTCACTATGAAGCTAAGTAAAATTTCTCAGGGTCTTACTGCTAGTTACAGGAAAATAGTGTGCAAAAGAATACTGAGGCAAATTTAATGTTAATGTTTTTCTTGAAGTTCTTTCTGAACTTGACTGAAAATAAAAAAGTGAAATGAGGAACATGAGAACAAGCACTGAGTGATTTTTACCATTTAAAATTAATTGTTTTCAAACTACAGTTTGCCGGGAAGATTCCTACAACTCTGTAATGTCGTGTGCGGCCGTCCTTCTTAGCCCAGTGGACCCAACAAGAGAAATGAAGATATTAGAAGAACCAAAATGTCCTGAGCCTTCCAAACAGTAAGTTGTCATTTAAGGTTTCTGGCCTCGAGATAACATCCAAGTACCTCAAGTATAAATAGCTGCCCAGACTCCTCCCCTCCCCCGAAGTATGACAAAAGTGGCAGTGTAAGTATGTATAGAAATTTAGTTTGTTCAAAATCATCGTTTTCTAAACAGTTACTACTGTCTACTGCCTTGGATGTCCGACCTATGTTATTTAAGTTTTATTTTGGTGTTCTGTCTTAGGTCAGCTGAGAAGGTAGCATCCTGTCTGCATGCTGATCCTGGATAAGGGATTACAGATCTATAGGGTTGTAGACTAAAATGGAATCACTTTATATTTTTGTTAGTTTGTTTATTTATTTTCTATGTAAACGTGTGTATTTGTGTATGTGAGTAGGAGTCCATGGAGACAAACAGGGAGTGTTGGATCCGCTCGTGCTTGTCAGCTGCAGACTAGGATGCTGCCAAACAAGCCTAGTTCCTCCGGAAGAGGGCACAGTACTACCTGAGCCTCTCTCCACCTCTGCAGTCAGCTCTTAGTATACACTTAGCTTCAAGTTGGTTTGGATTTTACAAGGAGTACAAGGTACCATTTTAAAACTTTAGTAAATTGTCATATTCTAAAAACTTTACACTATTGAAGCTTGCAGTGGCCCGTGACATTGCCTAGTAAGAAGTACAGAAGTTTGCTAACTATTGGTTTTGTTGCCATCCTTGCTCTGCATTCTGGTTGCTATGGACATGTTCATTTTGTGAAACAAACAAACAAAAAACTGGCAAGGTGAAAGATGATGATATAGGCATGTATTTTTCCAAATATGTGTATATGCTCAAAAAGAATATTTAAAGGACACGGTCATTCAGTTATAGATTATATGTTTTTCAGTTAAACAGAACTGGTTCTCACTGAGAGTTAAATTTGATTTTATATTTAAGTAAATGAAAGACTTATTTTCATAATGACTAAAAAAGGGTTAAATTAATGGTAACAAATATATGTAGAAATGAAACATTAAATCACAACCACTTCTGATATAATATTCAATCAATGAAATGGAAAACCTGCTGCTGATTTTCTAGAGAAGATAAGCCTGTGCCTGAGGTAGGTCTCTGGATGAAGAAGTGTGTACACACACACACACACACACACACACACACACACACACACACTGTAATATGTGATGATATGAGGCAGGCAATGATTATGTGTGCTAATAACATGCGTAATGTTTGGGGATATTTGGTGTGTGCTTTGTGGTGATATGTGATGATATGAGATGCAAGATGGTATGTAGTCACGTGTGATTTATGGTGTTCTGTGGTGTTAGTGAAATGTGGAGATAGGTGTCAAGGCATGAGATGTGTTGGTGTGTGATCTGTGTTGATGTGTGATATGTAGTTCTATAGGATATGTCAAACCATACAGTACATGATGTGACGTTGTGTGTGACATGGTGGTAAATGATATGCGGTGCTAATTAATACCTGTGAAATATAGCGATGTGTGCTATGTGGCGTGTGTTCTGTGTGGTAATGGGTTACATGCAATGTGTAGAATATGGTGATGTGTGCTATGTGGTGTTGTGTGACGTGCGATAAGCCGTGGCACTGTAAGTTATGTGATAGTGTAAGATATGTGACCTGTATGTTGTCTGTATATGTGAGCGGCCTATCACATTCTCAAGGGAAGGAGTCTTGGCACATCCTAAACAGATATGCTACTTGCCCTGGTTTGTGTTTGCTTGCCTCTTGCGTGTCTTTCTACCTGATATGCTCCCAAAGCATTTTCCTACAACATGGTTCTATTTTGATACTCTTTGTGAAATCAATTAGGAAAATCTCCTAATGTTACATTCAATAAAACTGAACCAATGGAGCAATTCACGTATTTGATTGCATGAAGATATTTACCATTAATATTCTCATTATAAAGAAAAGAAATACCATGCAATTCAAAAAGTGGTGATTGTAATTCAGTTTTAATGCAATCGGAATGTGAAAACCACTTAGCAGCACCTAATGTAGTTTAAGTTTTAGGATCCAATAGTCATCTTTTGTCTAATAGGAAGAAAATTACATCTCATATTTGCCCAGTAAGTTACATTAGAAAGCTCAAATGTATTCTCTTGCAGTGTGTTTGTGAGCTTACATAAGCCCCCATATAGTTTTAACTTGGATCTTATTCTTTTTAGATTATTTTTCAAGGACTGAGAACATAGCCGATTAATAGAGTTAATAATGTACATGTCTTTTTCCTAGTCTTTAGAAGCTTCATAAACAGTCTATTCTGGTGTGTGTGTGTATGTGTGTGTGTTAGTAGACAACATCCTTTTCTTTCTGTTCAGCCAGAGATTCCTTTGTTGTCCTAGCATCTACATTCTCACTTAAATGCTCTTTGACAATATTATTAACTCATACAGGCTTTATTGGTGTTTGCTTTTTTCTCTCGTAAGGACTGGCTTAAATCTGTTTTGTTTGTGGACATTTATCTATTTGTGCTTCAGTTTCTTTACCTGTTTATTATAGTAATACTTTAACCCTCACTATGAGGGTGTGAATTTACTACTCTGCACGGAGATATTTTTTATGCCCCTCCCTCAGGTTCACCTGTTAGCACTATGGATGATCCTGTGTATAGATGTCTAATCCTTCAAGCTGTTGTTGAAACATCTCTCTAGGTGTCCTTACAGAATCCTCAGTTGTGTCAAAAGTAAACTAGCGACCAGCTCTTTCTGTTAGTCATATATCTAAACTTATTTATGTAAAGCCACATGATTTTTTTTAAATCTTGGATTTCATTAATCAGAACATACCTTCAGTGCAGTTGATACTAATTCCTTAATGCTTTCATTATGTTTTAACTGAGCTGACCCAAATGGCATAAGTATCTTGCATGTTTTGCTAACATTAATCATCAGTTATGATTCTAAAGAAGCTATTCAGATATTTTTCTAACATGCAGTTTCCCCTTTTAACCTATGAAATTATCTATCAATCCACAATGTATGCCCTGTATACCACACACCATTATTTTGAAAATTAATTGGTGTAAGCAGATAGATGAGCACAATACAAACACTAGGTTATTTACTGAAAAATCTTGTTTTCTAGTGAGAGATTCACTAAGCAAAGTGGCCTAAGGAAAGCCCAAAGTAGTAATGGTGACTGGCTGATGTTGTTAAAATGTTGTGGATAAAAATTTCTGTTATATCAGGGTTGGGTCTCGGGGCTGCCAAGGAGAATTTCATCTACATCTGGCCACTTCACTTGCCTGTCTGCAGTTCTCATTTTCTAGGACTTGCATTGCTCAAATGTTTGCAGAGTCTCAGCAGCAACTGAAGCAAATGTTTATTTTTCTAACACATGCAGTAGGGTGAGTTTCTCTTAAATGAAAGCAAGTGAAGATTAGAGTGCCGTTGGCATGGATTGTTTGAAATAACCGTTCTGACACAACACTGCTCATAATAGTTTTTATGCAATGGATTCCATGTGAAGCCTGGGAAATTGTGATACATTGAGAAGAAAAAGGATACTTGAAATTTTGAAAATATTGGTAAATATAAGCAAAAAAAATAGGGCAAAATTTAAAGTAACGAATCAAGAATTCAAAGTAGTAATGCATGCTTAATTTAGTTTGTAATATCATTTGAATGGTAGGAATTTTATTATATTAAAAAAATTGACAAACTCAGGTACAACATGCCTATCTTTAGTTTTTCAATAAATTTTGCCAACCCATTATATTTTATGTTGTTTGATACAGTTGTGCTACTGGTAAGAAAAAAAAAAAATATATATATATATATATATATAATTTTCTTTGTCTTGACTTGCTTGTTATATTTTCTTTCTTTCTTTTTTTAGTTTTTACTTATAGGCATTTATTTTGTTGCTTTTTTTACACTTTATTCACTTTGTATCCCCCCATAAGCCCCTCCCTCTTCTCCTCCCGATCCCACCCTCCCTCCCCTTCTGCATGCATGCCCCTCCCCAAGTCCACTGATAGGGGAGGTCCTCCTCTCCTTCCTTCTGATCTTAGTCTATCAGATCACATCCAGAGTGGTTGCTTTGTCATCTTCTGTGGCCTGGTAAGACTGCTCTCCCCTCAGGGGGAGGTGATCAAAGAGCAGGCCTATCAGATTGTGTCAGAGGCAGTCCCTCTTCCCTTTACTATATAACCCACTTAGACACTAAAGTGCCATGGATTACATCTGCACAGGGGTTCTAGGTTATCTCCATGCCTGGTACTTGGTTGGAGTATGGGTCTCTGGGAAGACCCCTGTGTTCAAATCTTCTGGTTCTGTTGCTCTCCTTGTGGGGTTCCTGTCCTCTCCATAACCTACTATTTCCCACTTCTTACATAAGATTCTATGCACTCTGCCCAACAGTTGGCCATAAAGTCTCAGCATCTGCTTTGATAGTCTGCAGGGCAGAGCCTTTCAGAGGCCCTCTGTGGCAGGTTCCTAGGTTGTTTCCTGCTTTCTTCTTCTTATGTCCATCCTCTTTGCCTTTCGGGATGGGGATTGAGTGTTTTAGTCAGAGTCCTCTCTCTTGATTAGTTTCTTTAGATGTACAGATTTTAGGTTTATCCTATAAGTCTATATGAGTGAGTATATACCATGTGTGTCTTTCTGCTTCTGGGACAGCTCACTCAGGATGATTCTTTCCAGGTCCCATCGTTTACCTGCAAATTTCATGATTTCCTTATTTTTCATTGTAGGGTAATACTCCATTGTGTAGATGTACCACAATTTCTGCATCCATTCTTCAGTTGAGGGGCATCTGGGCTGTTTCCAGCTTCTGGCTATTACAAATAAGGCTGATACAAACATGGTTGAGCAAATGTTCTTATTGTGTACCTTTGCCTCTTTTGGATATATGCCTAGGAGTGGTATGGCTGGATCTTGAGGAAGCACTATTCCTAGTTGTCTGAGAGAGTGCCAAATTGATTTCCAGAGTGGTTGCACAAGTTTACATTCCCACCAGCAGTGGAGGAGAGTTCCCCTTTCTCTACT